ATAAATAGATAAAATTTAACTAACCTTAATTGAAATTAGGAAGTTACATTCTAATCCCACGCCAAAAATGATGTAGAAATTGAGTATTGCAATTAACAGAGGATTATTACCTAAAATTTTACCAAAAAATAAGTCATAAAAGAAGAAAAATCAAAGAAAAAAAAGGAAGGATGAAAAAAATCATACCTTTATTAAATCAAAACCTCAAAAACTATTATATATAAATCAAATTAAGAAGCAGCAGTTCATTGTATTGATTTGAATACTGAGAAGTTGAGATTTGAACACTGAGAAGTTGAGAGGAGATAATATGAGCAAGCAGAGTTAAAACGTGCAAATGCAATGAAGGAGAATGAGTTTTTAAGATAGATATTACACGCAAATTAGAAAGAAGCACCGGCAAAAAAAAAAAAAAAAAGGGATTTTACAACTTGTTTCGGTCAAGCCCACTGACCGAAACAAGCTGGAAAATCTGCACTTAGATTCTCCATACTTGTTTTGGTCAATCTCATTGACCAAAACAAGCTGCAAAATCTGAAAATTTTCAGATTTCGCATGTGTTGCAGGGGACTTGGATTGTGCATGCTTTTTTCGGTCAATATGCTTGATCGAAAAAATGTGCAAAATCTGCAAAATTGTAGATTCCCCATGCGTAGCAGGGTGGAAAATTAGGTTTAAGTACCATTTTAGTCCCTCAACTTATCACTTTGGTACCAAAATTGTCCCTCAGCTTTAAAAAGTACCAAAATTATCCTTGAACTTTCATTTTTGGTACCAAAATGGTCCTTCCGTCAGTTAAGTGGACAGGTGGCACGTTAAAATGCTACAAAATCACTGCTTTTTTTTACTTTTAATGACGTGTAAATCCAGCAAACAAAATTTTGCTACCGTGTCATGTTTTTTCCACGTCAAATTGCTATCCCTTTTCAGATTCAATTTTTGTGGGCCCCACATGAAAAATTGTTTTCCTTTTCCAGTTTCAGTTGAGTTCCTGAAGGCCAAGCGAAAACAAAGCAATCAAACAAAGAAAAACTTCAAAATTGAAACACAGAAATCAAACAAAGAAAAACATCAAAATTGAAACAGAGCAACCAAACAAAGCAACCAAACAAAGCAAGAAGCTAAAGAAACAGAGCAAAGAAAAACTAGCTTTACCATCCCAAACTTCAAAATTGATCAAACCAATCACCAAGAATATGAATTTCATGCTCAGAGCTATGGAAATGAAGTGAAATTGTGAAATTACTTGAAGAAATGCTAGGGTTTGTTTCGCGAGGAACCCAGAAACTGGGTTCTTCAAGGAACCTCGCGTAACCTAGGTTCTGGGTTCGTCAAGGGTTCGTCAAGGGTTCCTCACGAAACCCAGAACTAGGTTCTTCACGAAACCCAGAACTGGGTTCCTTGAGGAACCCAGAACTGGGTTCTTCACGAAACCCAGATCTGGGTTCCTTGACGAAACCCAGAAC